GATGTGAAGACAAGGGAAAATTGACAAAATAATTAAATCGAAAATTGGGATAACGGGTAGGAAGAGTAATTAATTACTGCATTGGAAAGGTGGAAGACAACTGAGACTGAGGATTTGAAAGAGCGCATTAATTAACCACCCTCTTAACCTCTTAATTATAATTGGTTATGGATACATTACGTCTAAAATGCGAGAGAGCGAGAAAGAGAGAAATCGAGAAATTTGGAAAGCGAGATAGCGAGAAAGATAGTTTATCGTTGCAATAAATATACATCGAGAAGAACGATAGTGAAAGAGATCAAGAGCATAACAACGAGACAGCGAGAGCGAGACAGCAAGAGCGTGACAACGAGAAAGCGAGACAGATTCCAGATAGTGAAGAACAAATATACTACTACAAAAATTGGGTGTTCTCATAGAGGAACTGCACTATCTGATTGACTTACACCCTACCCCCCATATATGCATGCAGATGTCCGTGTCATCGTAATTGGGTTACTACATGTCTGTCTATTGTGACCCGATGTACCGCATTGAGAACACTTGTTGACACGACGACGCTCACCGGTTGAGGCGATCCGTTGCGTTCTACGCCGGCCTGCACATTTAACAAGTCTTGGTGGTTGGACGGGAATAGGCTGGTAATCAGGTGGCCTTTTCCATTCCGACATGTGGCCTACCGGTAAGATTGGTTCGACGTAGTCACCAATTAGGGAGTCCACACTATAGCATGGATCGATCAACGTGTGGCAATTTATATTCTTGTGCCCGCTGCTGCAATTGCATGTGAACAGGGAATGCCCATGTACTGGAACTCCATGCATGTACATGTATGGGCATTCAAATCAACCGTCCCGTCCAAGCCAGCGTCCTCAACATGAAACATGCACCAGTCGACTGGTTTGACTGTGTAGCGACGGGACTTCTCAAACTGTAGTGCAAGTCGCTCATCTGCATAGTCTGAATGAGAGGTGTTTTGGGTGGACCAGTGAGTCCTTCTTTCCTGGAACCATCTTTGTAGCAAGTCGCGGATGAACTCGACAATCTAAGTGATAGATAACTCTCTAGCCTCTCGAAGGAGGGCATTTACCGACTTAGTGCTGTTTGTCGTCATATTTTCATATCTTCTACCAACTTGGTAGCATCGGGCCCAGCGTTCTACCCCAATTTCTTGTAAGTATTTGGCAAGTGAACCAGATCCAACCGATAGTATCTGGTTCCAGTAGTACGTGAACTGTGACTTCCGATACGCATACGCTGCATCCTGATACAATTTGTAAAATGCAGCATTCTTGAATCGAGCCTTTATTTTGTTCCCTAGGTGATAAGTGCATATAACATGGAATGCGTTCTAGAATATCTCACTTGTTGCATTGTTGATACTTACATGTCGATCATATATGAATACAAGTTTTTGTGGGTCTCCGATCATGTCCTTCAAGTTCTTCATAAACCACTTCCACGATGCATCGCTTTCGTTGTCTACAATCGCGAATGCAAATGGATATATTTGATTATTCTCATCCATGGCGACACCTATTAGCAGCACTCCTCTGAACTTCCCCTTCAAATGTGTGCCATCAACCATAATTACACACCTTGTGATTGACTGAAACCCTCTAATGCTGGCACCCAATGCCATGAACGGGTATTTGAAGTTAAGCGAACCTTTAGTCTCGATGTGGAAAATAGCACCTGGATACTCTATTTTTATCGCTTCACCGTACACATGGAGATGCATGTAGGAGTCCTCCGGTCGGCCTCTAACAATAGCGTATGCTAACTCTCGTGCTCGATGTGCCTTGTCATAACTTTTGTTCACCCCGAACTCTTTACGGACATCCTCCTTAATATGCTTTATCATGTAAATACGACCGATTCCAGCAACTCTATCCTTAATAAGATTCGCTACGATCGAGCTGCTCGCCTGTTTGTGGTCGTGGTTCACAGTGTCAATCATGCAGGTGTGTGCATCTACATACTTTGATATACAAAATATCGAAGATTTACCAACGGAGTGGGTTGCAACCCTCAAATTGCATGTATTGTTGATGCAGCGAACAACGAACTTTGATTTCGTTGACCTACTGACCTTGTATTCACGGTTAGATCGCATTGCTGCATTTGACATCACCATACACAAGTCTTGCTTTGAAACGAATATCTTCCCCACGTGCAGTTCCGATCCGCCTGCATTAGAAGGGGACAAATACATAGATTTTAGATTATCGAACAAACATGCAGGCCACAGAGTCCTCTGTGGAAATTCTCGTTCTCGCTCAATCATGTTATTGTTCTCGACCAATCTCAATCTTGCTAAGTCACGCTCTCGTGCACTCTCAATCTCGATCGAGATTACCCTCAGTCTATATTAATCTACGTATCATGCATTGTTAATGGAAGGCCAATAATAAGCAGCAGCAACGATATCTATTTAAAACGTACTTGCAAGATGGACGAAATAGTTCAGTGAGGGTGGGATAGCTAAAAAAAACGTGACAGATGTGTTGGGAAGTCTGGTGTATTAATCAACAGAATAGTTAATTTAACGTTGGGAATACACATTAATGGTTTTGAGAGAGTGCTTACAGCGTGATAAGGAAGTGTAATGCAATCAATGTCGTTTTGATGCTTCAACAACCGAGCAAGAAGAAGAAGAACTTAATGTAGTGGGGGGCGGGGTGTGGGTCCTGGGTTTATCTTCACTTCCAATTACATTACATTGAGTTTTGATATTGGGAAAATTGACAAAATAAAATAAAATTAATGGGAGTGGATTGGTGAATGACATGTTATCATTACACTCTGCCATGCAGTTCAATCAGTCGCATCGTATTAAATGCATTTGACGAAGTGTGTGAAAAGAAAAGAAGCAGAAGCGACAATGAATAAAAAATGATATCGAGAGCGAGAATGATCGTGATCATGCACTCTAACAACAATATCGAGAAAGCTCGCATCGAGAGGGGACATATCGAAATCGAGATCATGTTAGATTGAGATCGAGTTAGATCGAGTGCGAGAAAAAATTTAGCATACAGCAGCATGAGCGATACACACACTTAAAAATGGAAAAAAAATGAGATGCCTGCTGAAAGAAGCGAGACATAGCGAGATCGTGTTATATCGAGAACGAGTTATATCGAGAGCAAGTTATATCGAGAGCGAATTAGATCCAGAGCGAATCAGACCAGAGCGAAGTACATCGAGAGCGAATTACATCGAGAGTGAGCTATATCGAGAGCGAGCTTATAAGACGCAATGAATAACAAAAATATGGCACGTTCATTCAAAGTACGATTCATTATGTCAAAGTTGTGTCGCATACTGCATTGTAATGTGCGACACTTTAGATTGAACAAGAGTTTATAAAGCATTACAAGACACAAGATATTCCAAAAATTTACATGCAAAAATACCATAGTCTATACTACCTTTCTGTCTCGTGTCGGTCGTAGGACGGTATACATGCCACGGAGTCTTCCTCAGCTTGCAATCGGCTGTATCCATTAGCCCACATGCGTACAAAAGCGATGGGATTGTATGACTCAATGGCCGCAGGTCTATCATCAACTTCGATGTGGAAATGTGACCTGGCAATGAGTCGTACACAAAAATCTCGGACTGGGTCATATCTATCGCAACCAGAACCCAGTGATCCCTGATAAGAAGTAGGCTGTACACTACGTCGACGTCCACCCAAGCTGGAATGAAATCTTCCACCTGACCCAGCACGACATCCATGCACTCCTTATACTCGTCTCAAGTATTGATCGTGTCCTGGACGACCTTCCCCTTGATTCGTGCATAGGGACCACCTGCGGCGGCAAGGACTTGCTGCATAATAGCAACATCACACACATAGGACAATCACCATTAGATTGTCGAAACATAAATATTATGCGTGTATGAACTACCTATCTTACCATTTGTAGTGGGTCCAGGACAGAAAACTTTTGAAAGCACAGGTGCGCCCGACTACCGAGCTTTCTCATAATGAAATATGTTATGGCAGTAGCTTCCTGCATTCACAATTATAATAGATATGTTTGGTGAAATACAGTGCAATAATGGGCCTAGAGTTATGGGATGTGTTGTATCACTTACCGAGTCTTCGACCTTCTCCTTAGGATTGAGGATGTTAATGAAGAATTTCATGGAATATCCGCTCTGCACATTCCATGTTGTGGACGTGCGCGTAATTTTGTCATTTCCAGGGTCCCGTACCCAAAGCATCATCTCCCTAAATTTGGCATCCGGAAAGTTATGCAATGGGTTATATTTGGGACGAAATGGCCTAACCTGGCTAGCAGGTACGGGCTCCACATCCACCTTCTTTTGCTTCTTCTTCTGCCGACGCGTGTCCTTCGAACTGAAGGGTTTCGTTTCCATCCGCTTACGATTTGTCCTTCTTGTTTCGTCGGGATATGAAACCTACAAAACACAAGGAAGAGGCATTTTTTTTACCGTACGTAGTTTGTTAAGTTTAGAAAAGGGTGTGCAGGACCATACCTCGATTTTCTTGGCCGACTGCTTAGAAGCGGTTTTTTGTTCGGTTTTCTTCAGCTTAGTGGGTTCAGTTATAGTGGAACCGCTGACAACAAGTGGGGCTTCTCGCGGTGTCGTAAATCGGATTGTGGTCGCTTTTTTGCCATGGGGGGGGTTCCTTCCTTAGTTGGCTGGTGCACGATGGCCA